AACTTATTTAGAACTTTTAGGAACAAGTATGAAATGTTAACTTACAAACATATTAGTAAGCGTTTAGTTATAGTTTGTAAATTAAAACTATACTAATAATGTAAAAATATTTTATTTCACTATAAGAAAATTACTTACGTACATCATTAATAAATTAATTCCATCTTAAATCGTTTAACTTAAACTTGTGAGTGGTAAATTTACTTACACTTGCCGTGCAAACCATAGGCTAGTATTTGAGTTTTGTGTTAATTAGCTGCTAGCTGAGCAAAAGGTTTGACTGCAGTAGATAGAAATTGAAAAGCAAATTCTGTAGTGATAATGATGAAACAAGTACTGATTAGTGTGGAACCGCACTTTGTCGCCTGAATTTTTGGCTTACCTAGTAAGTAATAATCAAACAGTTATTGCAAACTACTCCCTCCGTCTAATTTACTGCTTCCTCCGGTCCAAAATAAGTGATTTTTTGGATGTTTTCACACAGATTAAGAAATTCATCTTTTTGCATTAATTAGCAATGAAATTAACCATATTAACCTTTACTATCTCACATAAACACTCCTAACACATATTCCAACACTAGTTACTCCAAGGATAATGTAGGAAAAAAATAATTAATTCATTCTTGAAATCTGGAAAAATCACTTATTTTGGACCACAAGAAAAAAAACCAAAAAATCACTTATTTTGGACCGGAGGGAGTATGTGTTTCTCTTATTTGACTAAACGTGCAATTTAACAAGAAGAAAAAAATTATATTTTTAAATTGGATATTCATACAAGATATTAATTTCTCCGAGATAGACTAGGGACCTGTTTCTTCATAGATATTTTTTTATTTTTTCCAAAAAAAATTTCAAATACATGTTTGCCCATAAATTTTTGCAAACTTTTCGAAAATGAGTTTTTCAAAAGTTAAAAACGTGATTTTGACCACCTTTTTAAAATATTCAATAATTTTATTTTCCTACTCATAAATCTGCAATGTTTTTTCAAGTGAATTGCATATCCAAACATAATTTCAAATTTTAAATATCATTTTTAATTAACTTCTAATACTTTTTTTTTTCAAAAATTACAATTTTAATGTCCAAACGCCTACTAGATGTCACATAAGTTAAGATGAACGGAATAGTTCTAACACCTAAAACTTCCTTTGTTTCAGTTTATATCTTAGTTTGACGATGCAAGAAATTTAAAATATGAATTATTTTTGAATTTTGTAATCTTAAATTAAAGATATTTATAATATATCAAGGAAGCAGACTCACTTGTTGAGCAAAGAGTGGCATTCTATTTTAAACAGACTATGGATAAAAGTAAGATACATAAATTAAAATCTAACCTTGAAGCATTTTTTTAAGACTCTTCTTCATATGTTGAAAGATTATTGAAAATTATATTTTTTACAAAATATTTATGATTTTTTTTTTTGTAAAGTCTTTTCATATCTTTGAAGTAAATACCAGCTAAGATATTGGCACCTATATCTATTGTAAAGAATACATAAGACTAATAGAATTTCTATGCTCAATATAGGTAGATCAAGAAGGTCTTAAAAAAAATCACGTAAATGACAATTTTGACAAATTTCAAGGAAGCATGACTCTCTTATTAGACCTTATAGTTCTTTATTTTTATTTATTTTTTATTTTTTTTATTTTTTTTTTCTGTTGGTAGTTTCTCTTGATAGGAGATTATCAAATTATGTAAGGATCGCTAACTGATCGATTCTTATCTTATTACCGAATTAAATATTATGTTATACTTAATATAGTCAACGAAATAAATTATTAATCGAGATATGTGGGGAATCTTAAATGAGAGGTATTTCAAACATTAGCGTCAAGGGTTGAAATCTAGCTTTTACTTACTCTATAATTGTAGCTACCTAGAATGTAGCCTAGCTATAGGTCAATGAAAACTGAAAGGAAGAAAACTTGCACCAACTCCGATCCTTGCAGTTGGTGAATAGCTTCTATTCTGTAGAGTAGCTGCGAATTTGTGTAAAATGAATTACGTTCCCATCGACTCCAAATGGTTAGTCTTCTTGGATGTTGAACAGTTACTATCCAGTTTCTTCCCAGGAGTACTTTTATTGGCAAACTGTCGAAATTGAAAATTTTACCCAGTTACATATTTTTTGGGTTTTACACTTAGTGGGCGTTTGAACATAAGAATTATAAATTCCGAAAAAGTAAAAAGATTCTTAAATGAAAATAATATTTGAAAATTTGAGTTGTGATTGGACATGAATAGAATTTGGAACGATTTTTGAATTTTTGTAAGTGATTTCCAAAAATTTCCAAAATGTAACTTTAAGTGAAAGTTAAAATTTTCATTGATAAAAATTGATTCAGAAAAAAGTAATTTTTTTTTTCGAAAAAAACAAAAAATTTCTTATGACAAAACGGGCCCTTAATGTCCGCTATACCGGAAAATGTTCTTTACTAAATTAAAAAATAATTTATTTTTAGAGATTAATGTCGAACCTCTAATTAAGGTGGAGATCATATTCATCTCACAACTCTAGATATAAAATTTTACCCACATATATGAAATTTTATCCCGATTAAGTGTGACATGCACTGCATTCTTTTTGAGATCATTTGGTTAGTGGAACATGGGATAATATCCCTGGAATAAAATGTGAAGTTATTTATCATGTGCTTGCTTATATTTTTAATTTGGAATTAATAATTCATGGATTAATTATATACCGCAATAAAAGTATAATCCTATCCCACATTAAGGGTGGATAACATTACTGGGATTACATAATCCCGAGATTTAACACTAAAATATCAAAGATACTCTTCTCCTAGGTTCTTTTTTCAAAGTCCCTTAAAAAAATCAAGGTTAAAATTAAAATAAAAGTTTATTCCAACTTATCTAATATTAATAAAATACTACATGCTATCACGTGTATCTTGTTTTTGGTACGAAGTAATTTATGTTTGACTAATTAATTAAAAAAATACTTTTGAGCAGTAATTAATGTTTGACCAAATTTTTAAAGAGTGTTTTTAAATATATTTCTCAAAAGTATTTTTTGAATTTTTTTTTTTTTGGGAGAAACTATTTTTTTTGTTTTTGCTTCTCAACAAACTGCTAATACTTCTAACTAAAAGCACTTTTTCATTTCAAAAGTTTGAATACTTTTAACCAAAAAAATTCTTTTGCTAACCAAGAAAAAGGTTAGCAACGCCAACTGCATTTGCTATAATGCAGGTGGTTTTTGGAGTAATTGATCTCCAACGCTGCTATATTTTTAGCTGCAAAATGGGGATGAATAATATCACTCCAATTTGGAGTAACACTGTTCATCTCATTCATTATTATTTCATATTACTTTATTATTTAACTCTTTTAATTTATCTCTTTATAGATAATTAATTATGTTAATATCTTTATAATTTAATCTTATATCTTAATTTTGGCGTATAATTTTGATTAATTAATTTTTGTACATTTATTATTTTTATGTAAAATGATAATTAATTTTATTATAAGTTATAATTCTACAAAAACATATAATCATCTCAAAAAATGAACGGTGCAAATATAAAATATTTGATGTTGCTATTGAAAGGTGCAAATATAAAATATAAGATGCTGCTAAAATTAAAAAGTGAAGATTAAAAATACATTAAATGAATATAAATTATATGTGATGAATATATAAAAAAGAAAAAAGATAGATTTTTTTTAATAAGAATAAGAAAATAAAAAATAATATTAAAGAGAGAGAAGAATATAAAATAAAATATATATTTTTTAAAGTAAAAAATAGACTAATGGTTGGAGTTGGAGATGGGAGATATATCCCGCCAAAATAATTAGTCGAAAGGTTTATAAATATCTTTATTGAGTAGATAGATTTCTCTGTTATTAGAATGATAAAATTAAATTTTCGAGTCGTCTTCAAAGGAGCTCAACAAGATGGTGGTCAGCAGTCCACTTAACAAAGAATTAAATAATTGTTGCTACATAACAACTAGTGAAGTTGTATGAGACTCCTTTTTGTCTCAAAAATTTGTAGACCTCAATCTTACACTTTTGGATTCAGAGAAATCTGAGTTCACAAAATTGTGAGACAAAAAAGTTGTGTCATACAACTAGTGTTAGTCGTACTAGATACAAAATATAAATTTTCGCCCATACCAATCAATATGTACCAATTGTCAGTTGTCAGCAGCCAGCCCCCTCGAGAATTAACCGCCGGCGTCAGAGGACCTCTTTCGCTGTAATTTGACTGCATTTACTCTCCTTGGACCCTATCATCACCTCGCATTTGATTTTCAACTTAACCCGCCGCCGTTTCCTTCAACTCTTATTTTTCCGAGACTTTTCACGAACATTACACTTTAAATCTTGATGCACATCCTATTAAAATACTTGGTCGCTATAGAATCAAGTGTCAAATCGAGTTGAGACGTGTTTAGTCAAACATAATTTACAGTAGTAATTTGTATAAAATATTAAAGATTAGCAATGTTACATGAGAGAGAATGTCGGGCTATTAAAATTCTACACATTTACAAGTTGAATGTTGCATAAATATAAATACTAAAATGAATGTATGATCATACAAGAATAACTAGATATATATAAAATCACATGAAAGGAAGTTGTTTTAAAGGATTTATACTTTATGAGAATTAATGTAAACTTAGCAAAAGAAAGATGCATTAATAATTAAAAAAATTATATAAGTGATGTTTATTATCATTAGTTGTTGAGATATGTATTAGACATAGCGGCATCGAAGAAAATGACGATCTTAAAATGAAAATCATAATATTAAATTCTCAGTTCCCCTTAAACTAAAAACTTAAGCCATAAACTAATAATCTAAAATTCTCAAATTCTGTCGGTGCAGCTATAAATATCACTTAAAACCTCTCAGCTGACCAAACCCTTTAGTCACTCTCTGTGATTAGTGGATTTTTGTCCCTCGTTTCTCTTTTGTTCCTTACAACTATACATTGGTCGTGCTCATGGTCGCTCAAAGTTCCACCATGTGCGGCGGCGATGGCGGCGGCTCTCAAGGAAACACTCGTCAGCCTGTTCGAACAACAAAGGAATCGCACTTCCGCGGCGTTCGGAAGCGGCCATGGGGGCGGTACGCGGCGGAGATTCGCGATCCATGGAAGAAGTCGCGGCGTTGGCTCGGTACATTTGATACGGCGGAGGAAGCTGCACTAGCCTACGATGAAGCCGCACGGAGTCTACGTGGACCCAGGGCGAAGACAAATTTTGGGCTAGATGGGCTTGCCGCAATCGGCCCACCACCGGCCCTACCAAAGCTTCCAAACTGGTGCTTTAATGCCCTTTATGGCTCTTACCTTGAAGATAGGAGCAGATTTGGTACAGGTGAGACTACGGTAGCGAGTTCTGAGTACTCGGGTTATAATTTAGAAGGCGTTGGTGTTGTAATGAACGAACATGAGAAGAAGACGAAAATAGAGAAGAAGAAACCGTTCTTGTTCGATCTAAATCTCCCTGCCCCACTCTTCTAATCAGCTAGCTTATTAAGGGTGGATTCGGTGGAAGAATATTCGGCATTATATGTTTATACCAAGTTAAAATACGTATAATCGTAGTAATTAGTTTGTAGTTTCGGCCAATGAATTAGCTTATGTGCGGTGAAGGACAGTATAAGCCGCAAAAGTTGGACAACAAAATCCCTAGTTTTAGAGTAAGATTTATCTCACGTTTTTTGAAATCTATGACTTCACTGTGTATTTTGTACAGCGGATACCACATTTCATCACTAATGACAAGCTATGATATGATATTAATACAACGTGCTTGTCAATTTGCGTTTATTTGTTTAATTTATGTTTATTATCAGTTTACTAAAATTGTTACACTAGCAATTTAATTTAACATACTGTAAAATGTTTCCGTTTCAATTGTGAGGTAGTTAATTTTACTTAATTATTAGTTTTTATGAACTTGCATTGCACGTTAATAATAACATATAATAGTGTATTTAATTATTTATGTGAAGGCACATCAAATACAATAATTATTATAATTCCAAAATTATCACCACATTAGCACAATATGTGAATTCACAATTATTGCAAAACATATGAACCTGCAAAAATGATCAACATAGTCATGTTAGTTAGCTAATATTATTATGTGCTTATAATTTAGAAATATGCAATGTGATGATACTAATCTAAGACTTTTATGGATGATATTTTTTTTTTTGTCTATGTTCCCTTCTAATGTGTTGGTTGCTCGTTATGACTAGAACACTTGTTGTCGATGGTGATATCCCTATGGAAAGTACAAAATATAATTGTTTATATGGAAAAAAATATTGCAATAAATACAATCCAACATTTGAGATTATTTTTCCTATACTTTATTTATTCTCATTGCAAAGTATAAGCATACAAAAATAAGTTTCGGATAAATTTAAAAGGATATTCCTTATATTTATGAGGGCAAAATTAAATTTTGGGGATAAACACATTCGTTGAAGCACATTGACCCATCATGGTTTCTTGTCACGACCCAGAATTTCCACCATAGGGACCATGATGGCGCCTAACATCACACTTGCTAGGCAAGCCAACGTTAAAGTATTATTAACCAATTTCTTTTACACTGCAGTGATTAAAAATAAACAAGCTAAATCAAGTAGGAATAAATGTGGACCTAAGTAAATAGCATCTTTGTTTATATATTATTACCAATACTATTGATATTACTACCCAAAATTCGGTATCACAATCTACGAATACACTATGATTTTCTACATACATCAGACTGAAAGAAATTACAACTGTTTTGAAAATAAAGAAAAAAAAGTAATATAGAGATGTAGAAGGGGATGTCAGGACCTGCGGACGCCAGCAGGACTACCTTGGGTCTCCTAATTGAAAATATCTGCAACCGACCTCTCGATCAGCCACTACCTGCTCCAAAATCTGCACAGAAAGTGTATAGCGCAGTATCAGTACAACCGACCCCTTGTACTGGTAAGTGCCAAGCCTAACCTCGACGAGGTAGTGACGAGGCTACGACGGGTCAATTATAATATAACCTGCATACAGTGTATAATAAAAGCAGAAAGAAGAACAGGACAAAATAAAACAGTAACTTGCAAGGAATGAATATAGAACTCAAGTGTCTTATCCGGTATCCAACTATAACCAATCCTTAAGTAAAATGCAAAGCTACAGAATAACTTACACAATAGAAGAAAAACACATAAACACATAAACTGATGCGGCGCACATCTCGATCCCACTATATATCAATGTCAAAATGAATATTCACCCTTATTACTCCATATCAATCCACCCTTATTCCTCCTGTTGCAGCGTGCTACTCGATCCCACCGTATAATAGCATTTCACCCTTATTCTTCCTGCTGCGGCGCGCAACCCGATCCCACCATATAATAGCATTTCACCCTTATTCCTTCTCAATATATCACCCTTATTCCTCCTGTTGCGGCGTGCAACCCAATCCCACAATATCAATGTCAATTACTTATTAAGTACAGAAATTTCACAATTTAACCCAAACTATTCACAATATTTAAACCTCAAATCAAAACAAACGGAAAGCTTGTACATTATGAAACTTCACACAAATAATACTACTCAGCGAAAACAATCCAAAATATACCCTAAAACACCGATAAACCAGCTTAAGCCAACAATATGAGACAATAAAACTACGGGACAACTAATGCCTTCAACATTGAAAAACAATGTCTGACAAGTAGCAATTAAGCATGGCAATACCAGTAAAACATGTAGTAGTTAAGGCATGAAGACAATATAATAAGAACGGGAAGAAAACATATAAAACAGATAAATTGGCGGCGCATAGGTACTCGTCACCTCACCTATATGCCACTCACATGGATTTTCACATAACAACTAAGTCAAGGATTCCTAATCCCTTGAGTCAAAGTTAGAAACAAGACTTACCTCGATCCACATGCCACTCACTACTCAATTACCACTTTTCCTCTAGATTTCACCTCTAAACTACTCGTATCTAGCCATAATTAATTTAATAACATCAAATATTGCTAAAGAAATCAATTTCAATACATAAATTTTAGTTTCACAAACTTTCTCCCAAAAAGTAAAAAATCGATCCCGGGCCCGCTTGTTCAAAACTCGAGGTTCGGACCAAAACACATTCACCCATTTACCCTCGAACCCGAATATGTAATTAGTTCCAGAATCCGACCCCATCGAGGTCTAAATTCCCAATTTGCAAAAACTCCCAATTCTTCCAAAAATCCCTAATTCTACTATGAAAGAACAAGGTTTAAGACAAGGAATCTAATGGGTGATGATAAAAACTGAAGGAAATGAGTTAAAAAGTACAAACCTATGATTTGGTGTTGAATTCCCTCTTCCAAAATCGCCCTAGGTAGAGTTCTAATGAAAGAGATATGAAATTTTGAAGAATTCCCGTTTTTGGTCCGTTTTAAAATCACTGGGCAGGCGTTCTTTGCGTTCGCGAAGCCGTCGCTTGATTAGCCTACAAGTTCGCGAGATATTCCTCGCGTTCGCGAAGGCTTATTCCCCCTAGCCTATGCATTCACGAGGCAAGTGCCGCGTTCGCGATAGACATGCCGTGTTCGCAAAGGGTAATGCCCCCGTTGCTCCGCGTTCGCGAAGAAGAAAATCCCCCTGCCCCCATTTTACCTTTCACATTCGCGAGAGTACCTCCGCGAACGCGATGAAAGGCACACCAGAATAGCTGCTGTAGCGAAAATACCAGATTTTCTATGTCTAAAACATCTCGCAGCCTATACGAAACTCACTCTAGCCCTCGAGGCTCCAATCCAAACATGCACACAGGTCTTAAAACATCATACGAACTTGCTCGCTCGATCAAATTTCTAAAATAATGCCTAGAAATACGAATTTAGCACCAAATCAAATGAACTTCTCAAGAACACTTTAAAATTTCTATTTTCACAACAGGACATCTGAATTATGACAAACCAACTCCGCTTCTCACCAAATTTCGCAGACAAGTCTTAAATATCATAATGAACCTATATTAGGCTCCAAAACCAAAATAGGACCTGATACCAACGAGATCAAACATTAACCAAATTCTTAAAATCATTTAATTTTCAATTTTTCATCAAAAATTCATATCTCGAGTTAGGGACCTCGGAATTCGATTTCGGGTATACGCTCAGGTCCCATATTTCGATACGGACCCACAGGGACTGTCAAAACAAAATTCCGGGTCCGTTTACTCAAAATGTTGACCGAAGTCAACTAAATAAATTTTTAAAGGCAAAAATTATTTTTTTTATCAACTTTCAACATAAAAGCTTTACAGTAATACATCTGAACTACGCATGCAAATCGAGGAGGAATAAAATAAGGTTTTGAAAGCCTTGAAATACGGAATCGAGCTCTAAAACATAAGATGAGCTTTTGGGTCATCACATTCTCCAAATATAAAACAATTGTTCGTCCGCAAACGGACAAAGTAAAAGTACCCAAGCTAGTGAAAAGGTGGGGATATCTGCTCCGCATATCGGGCTCGGACTCCCAGGTAGCTGCCTCAACAGGATGACCTCTCCGTTGCACTCAAATCGAAGGATAACTCTTCGATCTCAACTAATGAACCTACCGGTCTAGAATAGCTACCGGCTCCTCCTCGTTGGTCAAATCCTTGTCCAACTGGACAATGCTGAAATATAACACGTGGGATGGATCGTAGTGATACTTTTGAAGAATGGACACATGGAATACTGGATGTACCGCTGATAAGCCTTGTGGCAACGCAAGTTTGTAGGCCACCTCCCTCACTCGCTCAAGGATCTCAATAGGCCCGATATACCTAGGGCTTAACTTGCCCTTCTTTCCAAACCTCATTACACCCTTCATGGGCGATACCCAAAGCAACACTCTCTCTCCGACAATGAATGCAATATCACGAACCTTACGGTCGGGATAACTCTTCTGCCTAGACTGAGCTGTACGAAGTCTATCCTGAATGATCTTAACCTTATCCAAGGCATCCTGTACCAGATCTGCACCTAATAATCAAGCATCCCCTGGCTCAAACCACCCAACCGGCGATCGACACCGTCTACTATATAATGCCTCATAAGGAGCCATATGGATGCTCGACTGATAGTTATTGTTGTAGGCAAAATCCGCTAGCAGCAAGAATTGATTCCAAGAACCTCCAAAGTCGATAATACAGGCGCAAAGCATATCCTCCAAAATTTGAATAGTACACTCGGACTGTCCGTCTCTCTAAGGATGAAATGTTGTGCTCAACTCGACCCGCGTACCCAACTCACGTTGTATTGCCCTCTAGAAGTGCGAGGTAAACTGCGTACCTCGATCAGAAATGATAGACATGGGCACACCGTGAAGACAAACGATCTCACGGATATAAATCTCTACTAACCGCTCCAAAGAATAGGAAACTGCTACAAGAATGAAATGCACTGACTTGGTCAGTCTATCCACAATAACCCAAACTGCATCGAACTTCT